TGATAAAAACTCAAGTTAGATATCGTTATTAATCAGCTGTAAGTTTGAGTTTGTTTGAACTTATTCATTATAATTATTGTACAAAATGGTATAAGAATGCAAACTTAAATTGATTATAGTCTATTATCAATTCAGGTTAAGAAACTAGTGTTGCTTGCATCCTATTTTAAAGGCATTTATTTTTATAATCTACTAAAATGCAACAAAAAAGGGTTTGATTCTATTAATGTTGTCTTTTGTATTGCACTGTTGCAGCAGATTCCTGTGTAGCTTCAGATCTGAGTTGTCTTATTAGTAAGCCTCATTTATACTTTTGTAGCAACACTATCTTTATATAATGGCAAAGAAAGGGTTCAGAGTATTTTCTTTTTTTCCTGTGTCATATGTGGCAGCACTGTTCAATGTTTCTTGAATACATTACCCACTTATAACAACACTGTTGTGTAACTTCAGTTCAATACTTGTATGTGTGTAGATTAGAAAGAGGTAAGATAAAGGATCTGCAGTGTTTTATGAAGTATTCATCGTACAAAGGTCAGTTTTATACAAGTAGAAGTGTGTATTTACCTGGTTGTAGGCTGTCAGTAATGGCTACGCCTCTCTATTTGGACTGGTAGATCTCGGCAGACTGGAAACTTTAAAAGTAGCTCTCGGTTCAAAAAAGGTTGGGCACCCCTGCTCTAGACCGACAATTTTTTGGAGCTGGAAGTGAACCGGATTCCGGAGCTAAGAGCCGGCGCCGCTGCGGTGTGAACAGGAAAAACCGGCGTTTTTCAGGCTTCAGCTCCGAGCCGGAGCTGAAAAAGCGCTGGTGTGAAAGGGGCATGAGTCTGTCACTTTGAAAATAAAATACTGATAATCCATAATTCCATTTTTATGTCAAAAACTGAGTTTTCATATTAGCTGCTATGATAGCTACCAGAGTGTATCGCAGCTTTCGGTTTTGGGTATTCTGGCTACGCATCACTCTCACTCATTATTTGGTAACGTGTGTATGTGGAACTTCCCCTTGATTCTATTGGCTATAACGGTTAAAAAGAGATGTCAATCATCAAAATCGACCAAGGAGAGCCAGAGATAGGTCAAATCCACCCAAATGACCCTAGAAGTGTTTTTTTATGCTGAATCTCTACTTTGTTTTGCATTAATCTTGATACAGGGTACTTATTATATGTTATAGTTTGGATTCCTAAAGCTTTTAGTCTCCGATCCCATCATTCAAGGGTGGTTTTCACTATAAGTAATGTTTTTTCTTTTTGGACGGACACTATAATTTAATTTTTTTTACTATGTTCAATCTGAATTTACTTTAAAATAAAAACATCTATATTGATTCTGACTCTTCTACATCCAACTCACAGGTTTATCATTGCTTTGAGATAAAAGATTATTAATTTACCTCTTTTAGAAGTGAATATATAGTCATTTGTTCTGGGAATGTCATTTTCGAGCCTGAGACCTGGAAAACAGGCTCGGGGCTTAACAGGTTTTAATAAACCATAAAGGTACTTAATGATAATACAACAACATTTATACCATACTCAATTTCTAGAGATATACTATAGTAATGTGCACATCTTTGCTGTGACTAATTGTTGTGTCCATTGCTGTCACAAAAGCGCATCTTTAATTTCAGAATGATTTTTCCTTGATTTAAGCCATCATTGAGTTTTTTACCCTCAGTTCCTGATTAAGGGGATGTAATCTACATGCTCCCTCCTCTACGTTTAGGTCCTCATTACACACTCCACATTAAGCTCTTGGATTCATTACTGTGTAGATAATTACAATACCCACAACTGCATTTTTCATGATTAGGTCGGTTGGTCTTTATTCACTGAGAAGCACAATAACCCTTGGTGGTTACTTATCTACAAATGTCTCGTTGGAGAAAAGCTATCCTGTATGTATCTTTTAATGCTCTGAAAAGAATAACTGCTCTAGAGCTGGTTATTCATGAAGAAATCTAAAAAAAAGCTAATTTGAAAGCCAAGCACTCTATACATCTATGCAGCCTTAAAGCCAATACACAATGATGGCTGACTAATAATGTAATTTATTTTATTTTCTTCTTGTCTTTTGATTAATATCAGTTGGTTTTCTGTCAGTCCGACTGCAAACAGGGTGTTGTCGTATAGAAAAATAAAGTACATTGAGCCAACCTTGGATAAATAAAGGTCAAATCAATTGCCTGTCACTCTTTGCTCTGTTTCTAATTGAGACACACACATCTAGCTGAATTAATGTAAGGAAACCATGAATATGGCAAAACTAATTTAGGTGTAGCCGATTTATTAAATGTGTGGTGTTGAAAAATATTTCCTGGACTTTGAAACATTTAGGGGATTTCCCCCTGGGTCACAGAATATGTTTTTTTAATTTAGCGTATTCTTTTAATCCTTCCCCCTAATCATCCCGTTTTCCATCATTCCTCCTTCTATTTTTCTCATATTGTGATCTATCTCTTACCATGAATTGTATAAATCAGTTAGCTGGTGCTGACCTTTTCCCATGTGTTAATGCATTCACATGTAGTCCAATTTCCTGTTGTCATTACATGGCCATATTGGTACTCATTGCATCATATCCTGTTTGTATTAACCTTGCTTACTCATACCAAACCTACAGTGGAAAACATAATTTATTCTTTACAGAGATTAGAAGGGATGCAGGTGAGCTTTTTCTGTTTACTTGTGCATTTGTGTAAGCAATGCTAACAGTTTCCATGGTGATTGTGTTTGAAATGTACCTTTTAGTTTATGTATCAAAACTAAAGAGATTCTTGAAATGTAGTCTGTTTCATGAAATCGGTTATTTGGGAATTTGGAGGTGAACTACATCTAGACTAGTGCATGTTGAGATCTTTGAGTAATTGTATAAGCGGCCAACCCACTATTACTGTATGTCTATCGCTCATGCTTTATAAAACAATGTTGTTGCATCTGACATGGAACTATACATAAAAAATGTGCAGATACATCTGTTAACCCCATTTGTCAACCATAAATCCATCCTTAAACTGTGTAAGTATTTGCACACAAACAAATAGCTACTACTTCTTATGTGTTACAATTACATTGAGGTCATCAATTGATATTTTCCTGTAGCCATTATGTTACAGTTACAGTGCAGTTGTCCTCCAGTAATCTCCACTGCATCCAGCAGCAATAACACCAGAGCTGTAATAAGGGATATAATCATAAGAAACACAAGAGCATAACTGGTAGTAATTATTGTTTATACCAAACCCGCTACTGAATAAAGTCAGCAGTATAATTTATTTTATTTAGTTCCGCCTATAGTTGTGCGCTTTATTGTTTTTCCCCACTCCATTATTTTATTTCTGCCTCTTTAATGACCTAATTTCCCCATGAGAATATGTACTCTCAGCCTCCGTTAAATTAAACTGCAGCTTTTGATCTGTTGATGTTGTATGCAATTGGCCGCATATTCATTGTGAACTTTCTCAAAGCTGGATCCAAAACGTATCTCACAGACACAGCTCATAAGCACTACTGTGAGACCAGTTATAATGGATTTCTAATGTCTAAAAAAAAAACTAAGCTGATCTCGCTTTGTGAGTCAGACCTCAGGACATTAGCACTTCAACTTGAATAAGACTTAAGCCACAGTGTGACCCTTATTTCACGGAGAATGTATGCATTAAGACTCAAAATGCATGGTAATAAAATGATTTGAGGATCTTAACTAGAGACTTGCATCAGACTAAAGTGTTTGGTAAGATCTCCAGACCAGCGGGGTTAGCCTGGCTCCAGAGGCAGGGGTTTTCACCACTACACCATATTTTGGCATTACTCAAGTCATTTCTTAAGATTCAGGCTGACATCCACCATGAATCTGCTCTCTGGTTCCCACAACCCATTCCCCTTGTTGCCATAGCCAGAGTGTGTTTGTGTTTTCAAGGGTATGTACTCAGCGGTTAGTGACTTGCTGATTGTATTAGCTAGGAAAGCTGGTTTGGAACTTGGAGACTTGGAAAAGTATGACTCACAAACTGTTGTTTCTTCTCCTTTTTGCTTTTTCTCTCACTTCATCCTTCTTTTGATCCACCCACTGCAACCCCACCCACTGACACCATGACGTGATATTTGCTTTAAACCCACTACATTAAAAAAATCCACATTTGAGATGATCAAGGATCAAACTCAGTGTGGATGCTAATTTGCCAGATATAGGCTACACTACCCAATTTCTCATTTGAATTCAGTAAAAGTGTAGTTTAAAGTTACAGAATACAGTATGCACGAAAGAAGCTAGATTTGATGAAATAAGCAAGAGAGACCCATTGGAAAGCTCAACACATTCACAGATGGCAACAGACAAAACATTTTTTAAACAGCCAATATCCTTAAGAATAAAAGGTATTTTATACCTGGTAAAGCATCAGAATCAGAATACCTTTATTAGTCCCACATCATGTAGTGAGGAAGAACATTGGCTCCTTTGACATAGACTGTGTCACCTGTTCTGATAGTCCAGTAACACAAATCATGTAAACGTGTATCATTCATTCATCACTAAGATTAAATTACAAAATACCACATAACTCCATAAAAATGCTGCCTTTTGAAATTGAACTCTCTGTAGAAATCCAGAAATATGAGCTGTCAACTATAGTGTTTTGTTGTTGTTTCTAATTGGAAGAGTTACTTTATTAATGGAGTCAAGTGTATAACTTTAAAACATGTTCCTAATAAAGCTTTATGACTTCAACAAGCTGGTAAAGATTAAGATCAGGACAAGATGAACTCATGTCACCATAGCTGAATGTCTCAAGTGACTCCTCTGCTTCTTTGTCCCATTTGCCAGGAGATAACTTATTCTACACTGTGGTGTGCGTGTGTCTCTGCACATGAAGTGAATCACTACGCCCTGATTGAGCATGCTAGTTCAGTGCCTCTGAGAAAACTAGGGCAGGATAAGAACTCAGAACTAGGACATTTAGAACTTTAATTCTCTCTTGTTTTGTCTTTATGTAGTTATGCAGGTCGTGTTGTTGGCAGCAGTTTAAAAGCCCAGAAGGAGAACCCAGAGATGTCCGTCCGTAATACAGATCCTGTCCTGAAGGGGGCCAAACAGAGGCTGGAGCAGCTTACACAGGTAAACACTCATGAAGTCCTGCAGATAACCATGTTGATATGACCCAGAGAAAGCTATCTTGATCAAATATAACATATAGATTCATGGTCCCCAGACCTTGTGACATTTCAATATACATCCCTATCAATTCCTATACTATCCTGTCCATTAATAGATTCCCAAATGATGATTCCCATTGTTTTTGGAGAACCTCTGAACTATCTCTAGCATCTCCTCTTATACACAGAGAATCCAATGGGAGGATGGCCACGAGAATTTTTTTAATTTCAGACACATGATCTTTTATTTTTTCCTTGCAGTGTCATCATCAGGCCAAAATGTCAACTTTGCATCAGCATGAACTTTGCAACATATTCGTATAGGTACACCCGCATGAACATATCTGACATGGACATAAATATATTCCGTTTTCTCTCCACAGCCCACATAATGAAGTCTGCGTCTTTAACCATTATACACTAATGTAAGCTGTGATATATGTGCGTTGTATTTAATTATCCCACTGTGCAGCCTCTGAGGAAAAACTGTATGTTGATTAACCTACATGTTGATGATGGAGTCAGACTCAACAATAAGATCTGTGTGGGATTTCATAACTCTTCCACAGAGCATTAATATCTCCTGTGGTCACCTTGGCCGTGACATCATGACGTATGAGGGTGATTAGCATTCTGCAGGAATTTGTCTACCTCGCATTAAGGGCCAGAATTATTCATATCCATGCTTTAAAAGATGATGCTATTGTTAGTTTGATCCTTGGCTGTTATTATAACGGTGGAATATTAAGTTCAGCCTCCCGGTGTTTCTCTTATGATGTAGGTGAGATACCGTTTTCTAAAGCTAGCTGCAGGGGTCCGGCTTGTTTGTGAAGTGTTCTCGTCCTCATGCTTCGTTATCACCTTATGTGTGAATCACTGCTAAATCCAATACATTTAAATGTCAGCTCTCGGAACAGCTGTAGATAATAACATGCAATAATAAATTAACTGATTCAATAATTAAACTTGATTTATGCAGCACTTTCAAAAGCTCTGAACAGCATGGTAATATGGTGATATGATTCGCATGAATGATTCATAAAATCATGTGAATATGATTCCATAAAATGATACATCAAGGTTATCCATAACGATGATTCATTAGCTGCGCGAGGACCATGTGGCTGTGTTCAGGGGAGTTTTGAGACAGGCTGACACATGCTGAGAGAAGGAACAAACAAAAGAGTGAAGAGAGACCAGCAGATCTAATGATATGTCAAACATGTTATTGTCAAATCATTAACTCACCATAAATCTCAATAAAATTCCCAGCCAGTCCGAGGTACTTTTGGGTCATGCTTTCTTTTTTATTTAAAAACGCTTTATCATTTCCTAAAACAACTGGGTCAAACAGGAATGATACTGCTTTAGTCTGGGACTATTACCAGCAGCATATTGTGTGTGCTTGCAGGAAATGATGACAGTATGATATCATTTGTTTTTTTGGTGCACATATGATTAAATGTGTGAGGCTTTGGATACACAGGCTGTAGGATACATTTATTGTTTATTTGTTGTTATTCAATGTAGGATTTGTTGACTAACTAAACTATAGATTGGCCATAACCATGACTATCATGATGACAGAAATGTCAGTCTATGCCTGTAACATCAGGAGGTCGATTTAAAAATGAATTAGGGTTAAAAACAACATGTTTATTGTAAGGCAAGAGTGGAAATTGTTCCTTGTCAAGAAAACCAGGTGAATTCTGTAAGTGAATTTGAAGAAATCATGGGATGTGACATGGTTTGTTTTTCTCCTTTTGCTGTTGAGGCTCTTTCTTTGCCTTGTCTAATTTTAATAGTGAGCCCATTTATCATGTTGCATTTACATGGAGGAAATACCGAGTCAGCATCCTCCCGCTATAAAAACAAACACACACCACACATGAACCATGCGATCACTTATGCATGAGATTCGCTTTCTCAGGCCCATTAATTCTATGTTAGCCATATATGTTCGTTATTACATGATTTAAAAATTATTGGAGCTTCTGTGAATCTTCTAACATCCTAACAAACACACACTTAAATGAGGATTGGAAAAGTAAGATCAATGCTTTTGGCTTGTAATGCATGCCTGCTGAATTGATGATGGGTATGCTAACAAACCACAGCATGCACCAAAGGGAAAAGTCAGATATAACACAGCTCATCTGAATTGCAAAACTATGTTGGCTTCCAAGGGGTGTGCAGTCTTTCCATCTTTCTGATAAATTCAGAGAATGCAAGTCTGGGCACACAAACAAATCCTGTGTGTAAGAAGTGTACACACAGATCTGTTATTGTTTTACTTTAGAGTCAACTTTGTAAATCCCAGGGCTTGGGCTGCCATGCTAGCTGCACCAGTGCTTTCTACGTGTGAGAAGCCATTTATCTGAGGCACAAACATTAATGTACGCCATTTAATAATAACTATTCATGCCTGTCATGTGTGCCATTTACACAGTCACACAGCTAGGATTATAAGAGGAACAAAAAATGTAACGAGACAAAGAAGCATCCTTGGAATTCTAATTATTCCCCCAGCCATGTTGTTTTGAAGGGCTGTCGTTCTTTCCGTATTTTCCCCAGTCTCCTCTTATCTTTCGCTGTCACAATTTTGTATTATGTGTTAATTAGACCTTTGCCGCAGTGGGTTGTGTTTCACATAGGCTTTGCCCTCTAATGGGATTCTATTAGCCAGTCGCCAAACCTTGCAATTAAAATGTGTATTTACATGCTCAGCCAACCAGCCGAGTCTCATCCACCCTCTGAGGGCTGCCCCTGCATAGGGAGGGGCAGTGGACCCCCCACTCTTAAGTGACAGCAGAATACAGGAAGTATGGCGCATCTTAACATCAATAAGAAGGGAGGGTGAGGATACTGTTAGTGGTTAAGGTGAGGACTCTTGGTCTTATCTTATTCATTTGTTTTTATATTTCAAAAATACAACAGGACAGGACTAAATTAATTAAAAACAAAATACGAACTGAATGGCAATTATTCAATACTTTGTATTAGCTACATTCTAACCATCAGCACTGTGATTGGTCAGGTACCGTTATTACCTCTGATGTAGTGGTTTCTGTATATTGGTGTAATATGGGTCTAAAAACAGTGTAATAACAGTATAGCATTGGTGTATCATGGGTATAATCGGGTGTTATACAGGTGTATATAATGGTGTAACATGGGTGTAATGGGGTATAATTATGTGTACTATGGTTGTAATAACAGTGTAATAGGGCTGTATGAATGTGTAATATTGGTGGAATGTTAAAAATAGCAATCAATTAATTTTCCAAAATACTTATATGTGAAAGGGTTACCTGGATTATGAAAAAAACTTTGTAGAAGAGTGTAGTATGTGTTGTGTCTCGTCAAATGTGTTAGTTATGTTTATGTATTTTATGCATTTCCTGTTTTATTTTGTATTTACCTCTTGTCTTTCATGTCAGGCCCTGTTTCTTCCTCCCCTTGTGTGTTTTTCACACCATCATCAGTGTCTGCCCCGCCCCTGATTGTTTCCACCTTTTCCCACTCACCTCGTGTTTAAATAGTCCTGTCTCTCCCCTGTCCTGTGTCAGTTCGTCTTGTTTGTTTCTCCGAATGGTCGTACCAAGCCTCAGCTCAGAAAGGATCGCTTTAATTCATATCAGGTTTTGTTTCTTTTGTTAATTTTGTAGGCTTAAGTTTTTCTTAAGTCCTCTTTTTGTTAGGCTAGTTTTTTCCTCCTGGTGAGCGCCTTTTGTTATTTCCAGTACCTACTAAGAGGGATTACCTGATCTGTGAAATTAAAATTAAATGTTCTTTACATTCAAGACTTTTTCTCTGGGTCGTGCATTTGGGTTTATTAGTTTGTGTCGAGATCCTGACAGCATGGCCCAAGGAAAAAACAATAAATGTATGTAGTGGATCCGAATCAACTGCACATACTGTACACACATTTTATTTTTGCTTTCTTTAACGTTGCAAGATGGGACATTTGTGTTGCATGTGGTTTAGAAAGTTTATGGGTTCACTTCCCTGTTGCTGCTAGGATGGAAATATCAGAGAGGTCTATCTTTATCTCTTAACAATCAATTAAATAAGCTTATTTCCAAAATGTAAAATACTCCATTAAAGGCCCTGTCACACTGTCCCGAAATTGACACCCGATGGGCACACGAATATGGAATTGTGAATTTCGCACGATGATGGCCCCGAACCACACACGAAGGCAACATTTACATTACATTTAAGACATACAACTGCAATGAAAGTACCAAAAACAATTGTGTTACAGTACTATGATACTGTACTGATATCTTCAGACTTTGTTCTTTACTTTATCCGTCGTTATATGTAGAAAATATTACGTTTTCTCCGTAATGTTGTTTCCATAACAACAACAACTTCCTGCCAACTGTCCTTCAAAATAATATATTATATCCTTTTTAGTTTCACAGAACACAAATTGGGTTATTTACATAATATATTTACATGATTTTGTTGTGCAATAAAACAACCCGATGGACACACGATAAAGGAAATGTTCAAATTCGGCTGTGATCGTAGCAACATCGGGCCATTCGTGAGGGCATCTTAAGCCATCGTATGACCGCCGGTGGAGTTTCTCAGGCTCCGGCAGCAACTTCGTGAGCGGTGGCAAAATCTTTGGCATGCCAAAAAATTGCCGAAGGACCTTACGAAGGTTCATTTTCGTGTTGAATTCGTGTGTCAATTGTGCCCTTCGTAAGGCCATCGTGTTATCATCGGTGCCATCGGGCATTCGCCCCGATCAGAGTGAGGGTGAATGCACCGATGATAACACGAAGATGACACGATTTGACAAGATGCCCTCACGATGCCTTACGAAGTTGCCGCTCACGAAGTTGCTGCCGGAGCCTGAGAAACTCCACCGGCGGTCATACGATGGCTTAAGATGCCCTCACGAATGGCCCGATGTTGCTACGATCACAGCCGAATTTGAACATTTCCTTTATCGTGTGTCCATTTCGGGACAGTGTGACAGGGCCTTAAACAACGCAAATATCGACTGCATGTCTATTATTATTTTTTTATTTTTTATTTAGCCTTTATTTATACAGCTGTAAAATCTCATTGAGACACAAATTATGAAACTATACGTTTTTTTCAGGAATGATTAGATAGGACAAACCACTCTGGAGTTGTAAATTAAATGACTAGCAGTGTAATGGTTTCATTGGAGATTTTCAGCACCACATGACCCAAATTATTTTTTAATTCTTTACTGGGAAACACAGTCCTGATATAAACCTTGCTGTAATGTGTTTGGTTTTCCCTCAGGCCTCATTTGCAGCCTGATGACATGATGGTGAATCACTGCACAGAGTCTCCATGTCCCTTTGGACACGCTGTCACTTAATAACCTTGGTTCCCCTTGTTTCCACAGGCTGCCCCACACCTACTGGAGGCCATATGTCCCTACTTACAATGTGTACCCAACCTGCATCTATTCAGCAGGGAAACTAATTTAAACATAGGTAGACTATATCAACGATTGCTATTTTAATACCGTGAAAACGCTAACCCTTTATAACTTAGCTTCTCCTTGTTCCAGTCAAGTATTTAAATGTGCATTGCATTACAAAATGTGTATGTCTACTGCTGCACATTTCCAGGGTTACAAATGTATACTATTTGCCATCTCAGTCGATATGTGTGTGTCACACTGCGACCACAGTGACTTTGTAGCAGCAGCTTATACCATATGTTCTTGTGTTAAAGGGATTATATTTGCAATGCAGAAGTAAGCCATGTTAAAATATTAGAAAGCAGAATGGATTTGGGTGTCAAGCAACAGGCAACGTAGGCGGTGAGGCAAATTATCTTACGCTGCATAGCAATACAATTCTAATATTTGTCATTATAAATCCAAACAGACCTTTGTAGTATTTCATTTGACAGACAGATTTCACCAGTGTAAAATAACATAAATCATTACGGTAGATGATGCAATTTTTAAGCATAAGCTTTGCTGTAAATGTAGATATATAGTGAAATGTCACCGCCATATATCCTTTTTCCTTAGTAAACTGGTGGATGTTTGCCTTATCTCCGCCCTCAGCTGGAGTTGATATATTACCCACCTTCACTCTCTACGACACATTTATCATACTGTGAACCAATTATATGTTCCTGTTGTCTAGACAATATGAGTAACAACCTACCGACTCCCATTTTGTTATTTCATAGTTTCTTACATAGACAACAAGTTTGTGTTGTCCTGATCAAATTCTTGACCCCAATATTTGAGGGTTATGGATGTTTTTTGTTGGCTCCCTCATTAGCTGAGCTACTGTATAGGAAGTGCAGGTTTCCATTCAGCATCACAAATAAGTGTTAGCCACAGCATCCACACTGTGAGTTAACTGAGCAGTAGATAATATGGATTCCTGCAGAGACAGCATGACCTCAATTACCCTTCACTCTGCTCTCTGACCTGAGTGTGTGTGTCTGTGTTTATATTTCTCATTATTCTTTTGAGTTCTGTTATCTTTTCTGTGGAATTCAGTCCCTTTAGATGGAACAATAAGATTATTGTGTGTTTCTTCATTAAGCATTTCTCTTATATCACTGCTTTAGGATCATTATCACTCAAGTATTATCTGCAAATACATTATTTCTGACCTTTGACCTTGTTCATTTGTAGCTGTATTTGATTTGTGAGCTGAAGATTAATGCTACATTTGGCTAATATTCAGTGTTTCACATTTTATATTCACAACCTCAGTTATGACATTTTTGCACATATACACATATATAAAAGAGGCAGTGAGTGATTTCAATGAATAATTAAGTACATTGTGCAGGAGAGGTTACGAGCAAACAATCCCAATTAATAGTTAACATTAACAAGTTAACGATAGTCATACCACAAATCATACAAAAATAAACAACATGTAATAAAGTGATGGCAATTATTATCCCAATTTTGATCTGATGATGGTGTTTGATCAGAAGTTACAACACACTGTCACTCATAGATGCTTGTGTACGTGCAACGTTTTACATTTGTGTGTTTCTGTGTGTGTGTTTTATTTAGGAGCTGTTAGTGGAACTCGGCTGGGCGAGCAAAACTAGAGGAAAGGTGGAGGAAGAGGAGGGAGGGAGCGCACAGACAGAAAGAGGGAGTGGGGATGACTGCGATGATGAAGATGGCTGTGAAGCATCTGGTGTGGAAAACGGTGAGTCACACACACACGTACACACTGTCAAAAATAGAGGAGTAAACATTAGCAAACATACTCCCACACATATAAACACATCAACTGATGCTCACTTGCAAGCATGTCCGGTCTTCACTATGAAAATATATGGATTCTGATGCACACGTTAAAAATCCACATATGCAAACACGTGATAAAATATACATATATATGCACCTATAAGTAAAACACACACACAGTACAAGGCATAGTGGTGGTTTTAATATGCTGCAGCCTCTACACATACTGTGCCAGCAGGGAAATGCCCAGAGGGAGGGATAGTGAGAGATGGATTCAACTACTCCCCCCCCCTCTATCGTTCTCCCTTTCTTTCTTTTCCTCCCTCTCTTCACCAGCTTTATTTCTGCTGGTCTCAGACGTTTATTTCCTCTTTGGCCAGGATAAAGGATGCACCAACCAGGTCATCCAAAAAACAGAAATGGGGATCCAAACTGTAATTATTCATGTTACACTTGACACATTCACCAGGCTCCTGCTCATATATTAAACATGGATTCACAGGGAGATCTAGGAGGGGCCTTGAGGCAACCCCACATATTTAATGTAGTTAAAATGTCCTCTAATTAAAATTGTTGAATCTAATTATTGACCAAATGTCATATGTTTTGTTCTTGACCTGGAAAAAAAACATTTGAGTACCTAGTTTTTCCTCTGTGTATTCCTATTTTTACTATCCCTTTGTACCACCCTTTTTTAATGGGAGGATAAATGCATTACTAGGCTATAACCAGAATTTACTTAATACTAAGGTTATACCTTCAAAGATAGAGAAGCAAAACATTTTTTTTAAAATACATGTTATTCTGTTGACACTTTTAATACAAAATAATATATTTTTCTTTAATAAATGTATATATATGTCCAATACTTTATGTATAACAAATGTCTATGTCCGCCTTTAAAAATCAAATGATGTGTAAATTCGTATCAACACAGACTGGTGAAGGTATCAAACTGTTGCACCACTAGTTGCTAGGAGCTGTGTCAGACAACAACACAGACAAAAACACACAAAATAAATCTGTTATGTAAATTGACCAGCATTCTTGTACTGTGGGGCCGTGCTTAGGTATGACCGCATCTATGGAGTCAGATTTGGGTCAATATTCTCGCGCGTAAAACAAGCTACTCACGAGCGGAAAATGTGCTTTTACACGCGCATAAAATGACCCTCGCACACAGATTAAACCCCCGCGAGCGGCTCTGCGCTCGCTCGCTCGCGACAGCCCTCTTGCTTGCTCGCGGGAGTGTCAGCCTCGCGGAGTCTGTCTACGCGCGCGTGAAAAGTTTCTGGCACTTTGGGGCGGAGATGTTCACAAGTCTTTTTTTGCAAGTCCAAGTCAAGTCTCAAGTCTTTGGTCACAAGTCCAAGTCAAGTCTCAAGTCTTTGTGTGGTGAGACTTGATCAAGTCTCAAGTCTTTGGTCACGAGTCCAAGTCAAGTCTCAAGTCTCTAAAAAATAAAAGTCTCATGTCTCTTCTGGTTGTAATAAGCCTTCTATTGTCTGCTGCTATCCAGTCTGTTAAGAATACTGCACAGCTATATCTAAGACATTCAAAGCATTTACTGTATTATTATCACTCCTATATCTATTAGCATACAGTATCAGTACTGATTAGTTGTTTGTTATATGATCACTTTAAACAGGCTATTGCAATGCAATATGAGGAAAAACATCACACTTTAGCTAAATGCAAACAACTTATAAGCAAAACACTTCATAATCAGAATCACAAATACTTTATTAATCCCCCGCAGGGAAACTGTGTTAAAAGTACTTAAAAGTTAACATTTGTTCTGTGCCATTTGCAACTAAAAAACTATTGCTGCAATATTATATGAAATATACTGAACTGGTGATATTAAAACATGACCTGTTCCAAAAGAGATATCTACCATTAACACCATTTACCAGCCAAATGCTGGTAAATCATGCAAGTGGCTGGTACTGTGTGTTGCACGCACCAGCCAAAAATAACAATGCCAATCTATTGAGTGGCTGGTAAAATGTCAACATTCACTAGGCTAGCCATTTGGCCAGTGGGCAAAAATGTTAAAATGTGACCTCTGCAACCGTATTGTTTAATTACACTGGGTCTCTAATTACATCTTTTAAGTCTACTATAAATAAACATATTCCTCTCTCCTCTCACTCAAACCCAGTGTAATGGTAACCTGATAAACCTGTAACATTAACGTTACGTGGTCAACAATAAACCTGTAACCTGCCTATAAACCGACAGATGTATTTATGTATGTAACTATGTATTTTTCTACGTTTAACGTTAGCCAGTAGATGGTGGCAGCGGAACGTAATGATTAACGTTACCGACATTTTTTATGTCATGTCAAGAGTTGGATGTCAACGCCACTCAACGCAAACAAGTGTGACAAGCAAACATTCACTCATCTTTTCAAATATTCAGTTACAAAGCTAGTAGCAAGCTAAGTTAACATTATATAGCTGATGCTGAGCTAAACATGTTTGCTAACCGTCCATAGGCGTTAATGTGACTGACCTCTCTGGGTGAGTTTTCAAGTGCCTGATGAAATTTGACGTTGTTGCACCAGCATCCTTGATTTTAATATTGCAGACTTTGCAGTGTGCGCTCCTTTTGTTGGTGCCGCCGGCGTTTTGTTCGAAGTTTTTATAGTTGAACCTAATTACAAGCGGTACAGCTGCAGGTGTGCCGCCGGTCGCCATGGTGTTACCATGATGTTAATGTTAATGTTAAAGGTGGGGTAGGTACGTTTGAGAAACCGGCTCGAGATACACTTTTTGTTATATTCCATGGAATGCTCTTAACATCCCGATAGCCGGCCCGGCTAAAGTAACTGGATGGCCTACCTGCCTGTCAGCGTTCCATCGGGGCACAAATTTAACTCGTGCCCTCATTGGTCATGTGCGCGTTCGTGTGTGTTGGAGGAGGGGCTCTGTGAGGAAGTGGCAGATTTTCTCCGGTTGTGTATTTTCAAATTCTAGCGATCTCGAGCTGGTTTCTCAAACTTACCTACCCCACCTTTAATACGCCAAAAATAGAAAACACAATGATTGTTCACGAGTCCCAAAACACGAGTCCAAGTCGAGTCCGAAGTCTTTTGAGCAGGAGTCCAAGTCAAGTCTGAAGTCTCTGTGTGTGCGACTTAAGTGCGACTCGAGTCCGAGTCACAAACTCGAGTCCCCATCTCTGCTTTGGGGCGGAGCCACTGGACTTTGATTGACAGCTGCCAGGAAACCCGGGGTTGCCAGGTTTGATAAATGCCTGAACTGCCAAGAGCCGAGCAGTGACGGCAGCAAAATCAGTTGGACGAGATTGAATGGTAAAGTTGTCCATAAAAAACTATTATATTCGTAAAGTGTACAGCTAATATATATATATGATTCTGTTTTCTTCAAGGTTGTGTCTTCCTGGTCGAATGTACTTATTGTAAGTCGCTTTGGATACAAGCGTCAGCTAAATGCAATGTAATATAATGTAATATACATTAATTTGATATAAAACAATATATTTTTCAGTGGGCTGTGTCCGTCGAAAACTGCTAGCTACTGTCTGCTGTACGCACCTAGATTTTGCTGCCGTCACTGCTCGGCTCTTGGCAGTTCAGGCATTTATCAAACCTGGCAACCCCGGGTTTCCTGGCAGCTGTCAATCAAAGTCCAGTGGCTCCGCCCCAAAGTGCCAGAAACTTTTCACGCGCGCGTAGACAGACTCCGCGAGGCTGACACTCCCGCGAGCAAGCAAGAGGGCTGTCTCTCTCGCGAGCGAGCGCAGAGCCGCTCGCGGGCGCAGAGCCGCTCGCGGGGGTTTAATCTGCGCGCGAGGGTCATTTTATGCGCGTGTAAAAGCACATTTTCCGCTCGTGAGTAGCTTGTTTTACGCGCGAGAATATTGACCCAAATCTGACTCCATAGCATCACTTAAAGTAAGCAGCTAATTGAGAGAAGTTTGATATGTACTTTTATCAGACTGGTCAACATTTTTCACACTATATATTTTAGTTGCATTCTTCTTTTAAACTAATCTGTGTTCCGGCATCATAAAAGGCAAACAGATCTACTATCTTGGAAAAATGTCATCTCCAACCATCCGTCTGAAGGGCAACAGTACTCAAAGACCCTCCTCTTTACGTTATGGAAAGCTTTACTGTCTTTAGCTGGAAAAACACATATGTTGATTAACTGGTCAACATAAGAGAAGCCCCCTACTGCCTTTTTGGTGACGAAAGTTTCCATGACACCCAAGTGGTTTGAACTGGACTTTCCAGGAAGGCCAATTATTTTCAGGTCAATCCAATAATGTAATAGCTGTGTTTGTTTGTTTTCTGTAGTTAGTGCTTGAATGGAATACAATACACGTGTGTTGTTGGAGGCATTCTTGCTCCATGGCTCCATTGTGATAATTTACTAAATCAGAGCTCATTCTTGGGTATTATCCCGTTGTTGCCCATAATCAGATCATGTCACCCTCACAACACCCTGGTGATGTCGCTGGGTAGTGGGGTTTCTCTTCCCCAAGGGCATGCTGTAATAAGCTCATAGGTCATTGGCAAACTAATGACTCCGTCACTTTACTTGTTTCGACTGCAGTCATGAGTGTGTATTGACCCAGTGACACAAAGCACGAGTGTAGCTTGTTATTATCCTGAACTGTTACGTCAGTGGCTCCCAAACTCCTGGCTGCAGAATGGTACAAAGCCATTGGACTTTTGCTACAAGGCCAAGAAACGGAAAAAAAAAGATTAAATAAAAAAAGGAAAATTCCAAATGTACAATTGTGTTTTTTGAGACTACATGAAGATACCGTTTTATTATTTTTTCAGGAGTATGCAGAACTCAAAGGATATTTTTCTGTTACTGTTTCCTCTACCATGCAACAAATAACCTTGAGAAAGAATTTGAACGTTTCTTTGGAACAATTCAAAGTTTGTAGACAAAACAACTCAGGAGGCAGGTTTTA